CTGAATTCTATATTATGGATTCCTATAGCTAGAAGGGCTTCTGGCCTATGATTGGGATCTTTCTGGATATCTTTTTTGGATTTTGACCCCAGAACCCCCAAAATTGCTCTACTATTATTATTTTAATCAGATAAATTATGTATAATTAGGATGATATCATTTTATTAAAGTGCTTACATACTGATTCTTACTTTTTTTTTCCAATTTTATAAATAATTAAAAAAGTATATATATTTTGATTTTTTTAAAATAATAATCACTTATTAAATATATTTTGTTTGTATTTTTTCTGTTTTATTTATTCAAATATTATGATTAAGCATTTTTAATAAAATATATTTTGCTGATTTTTATCTAATTTTTGAAATAACTAAAATTTTTTTGTAGCTATATCATGATCAATGTTATTAATTATACATTTTTTTATATAACAAGAATTTTTTAAAGTTTTTTTTTTAAAATGTTTTAAGGTCTTATTTTGTTAATTTGTCATTAAATTCTTTTTAAATATCAAATATTTCACTTTCTTTAAGACGTTTATTTCAAATTCTCTAAAATTAGAAATTTAAATGTTTGTAAAAACCGATTGTGATAAATCCTGATATTATTATTATAATTAATTTTAACTCTATATTTATCTTATAATTAATTTAAAATAGCATTTAATTTATTAAGTTCAGTATATTTATCAATAAAAAGATTTTCTATAATTTTTTTTTTATCAATTATTTAAAAAGAAAGAGATTTGGTGATTAAAACTTTTATTCCAATTCAATAAATTTTTCAGATACTCAGATAATTTTAAATTGATCTACATGTATATTTTAGTTTTTTAATATTACCAACTATTAAAAAAAATGCACATAAATGATTTATATCATGTGAGCTAAAAATTTCTCAAAATTGATTGGAAGTTGGATTTAAAAACAAAAAAAAATTAAGTGTACGCAACATCTTTACAATTCCTCTAAACTTAATGGTATGAAAAAAATAAAGCATGCAAAAATAAAACTCGAGTATTGTCAATAATTCACGATAACTTGCTGCAATGTTTTGTCTTCAATAGGTTATTAAATAAGAAAATAAATAAAATACTGCATATAAGTTTATACTATAAAAAAGGACCGTCCAAAGACGTAGAAAAAGCAGTCGGGTCCATCTGAAAAACTTCTGGACGTCCTTTTTCACAAGGTAAATTCAAGTTGTGTTGCGATGTATTTAAATATTTAAGACTTCATTGTTATCCCAAAAAAAAATTCCTTTAATAATGCTCGAAATTTAGCACGTTAGTTCGTTCATTTACACGTTTTCATTTTTACATTTTTTTTTTCAATTGGCGATGACCAATTTGTATATTTACTAATATTATATCATTTAATAAAAATTAATTAAAAAAATAATTTTTTTTTAAATGAATAAATATTCCTATTTTTATAATAACAGTAAAATATACAAAAAAGTTCGAAGAAAAACAGTATATATTAGGATTTGTAAAATAAAAAAAAATTTGATTTATTGATTTCATAGCGAAACAAAAAAAAATCATTTCGCTATGAAATTCATCTCCAAAAAAGGAATCTCCACGTGGACGTAATTTTTTTATTATTTTATTATCAATTATCACAAAATGACTTGATAGTGACATCTTAAAAAAACAAACAGCCTTTCTTTTTTTTTTGAAATAATTAAAATTTTTTAACAACTTTTCAAAAAGAATTTTGACAAATATACTGGCTAAAAAAGGTATTTAAGATTCAGATCGACGTCGGTCAAAAAAAAAGGAATTCGCGAAAAGAAGGAATCCGGTGAACTTGGTTTGGACGATATCGGTGTCAGTGTTTATAATTTTTTTCTAGTTTTTTGCTCCGCCTTTTCCTTTAATTCCTCTTCTTGCTGTTTTTCCGGAAAAGACTTGAAATCTTTGCCGAACACTTCAATGTTTCTTTGCATTGCCAACCTGGTAAAACTTCTTTGTTTTCTTACAAGAAAGAGAGAGAGAGAGAGTGTGTGTGTGTGTGTGTGTGTGTACCACATGGTGGCAATATCTTCGCTTATATCATTTTCATAACAACATGAACGAATTTAAAGGTTGCGGGGTCTTATTGCTGCCCGTCCTTTTTGCGTGTTTAGTTTCTTCGGCATTATTGATAAGCGTATCTCGGTCAATGGTAAAGGTATAATTCGATTTTGGATTTGAAGGTTTCAGTTCATTGTTTGAAGTAATGAAGTCGTTGAATTTAACATCTTGATTAATATCAAGACATAAATCCTTGTTATTTGTTGGATCTGGTCTATTGTTTTTCATTAAGTTTCCCGTTTTCTTTTTAAGACAGAAATTGTATTGCATTTATACATTTGGCTTTTTGTAAAACAATGAGGTTTCGCGGTGATATAAAGTTCATATGTTAAATTTTATGTGAGAATAATTTAAGGATAAATCAAAAAGATCATATCACTGTTTTAGTAACATTTCAGTTAAAAAGAGAAGGTATCGCTAATCAATGAAATCTTGAACCCAAATTTCAAATATTCGAACAATACTAAGGAGAAAAACCCCCCAAAAAATATAATAAAATTCGCATAGAAGCATGATCAGAATGATAAATACCCCCCCTTAACGTTTCTTATTTATCCAAATTTATGAAACTCATTACAATCAATGGTTAACCATTTTAATCAAACTTTATTTTTTTCCCATGATTGTTCTTCTTGTGTTTAACCTTTAATGTGCTATACCTATTTGGGGTGGCTAAAGTTCGATAATAGTCCCGGTGACAAATAATATGTGACAAATAAGAAATCACTTACCGAAAAAACTGTCCCCAGAATACTTAATAAAATGAAAAACAGAGGTGTGACATGGCGTGACAAATATTTTTGCGAGTCACGTGATAGAACACGGCTTAAAGTTAGCAATCGATAGATCGGGAGTCGACTGGTTGACTATATATATAAAACAAATTGAAATCGAGAATTGTAATTATTAAAATGAAAAAAAAAAAAAAATTTTAATTCCTTAAATTTTTAAGGAAAAAAAGACAAAAAGACGCGAAACCCCCATACCGTAAAAATGAACCTTCTACATAATAAACTTACAACTCCTTTATTCTACGAAAATTTTGAACTTATTCTTGTAGACTTTAATCGAAAACTTTCCACAGCTTACGAGACCAAAAACACTAAACCAACGACGCTCAAATGGATAAAGTTTATTCAGCTTATGGAAATGAAAATTCATTCAAATAATCAACCCTCCCGAAAAAGTAATTATCAACGAGCTCACTCAGCTTTGGTTCGTGCAATTCACGTTTTATATTTATATATATATATTGACTACATTTCTTTTTTATTTTTTATTTTTGTATACTCAACTCAATTTGATATCTCCCATTTTTACAAACTTACGCGTTTTTTCACAAAAAATATTTTCAAAATGAACAGCAATAACAACGAAAGAATTATTATAAACGTTCTTGAAACTGAAGAACCACGTATTAGTAAATGCTTTCCAACGGTGAGTAATTTAAAATAATTATATTTATTTATTATCAGTTTTTAAATTTTTTTTTTATTATATAATTACAGCACGTTCGAACTTTTCTTGTTCGTGCTAAAAAAAAATGTTGAAAACCGACTAATATTCTTGGCCAAACGAACTAAAATTGGAGTTGCACCAAGAGTTCAAAATAAAGGGACCCAGTTTGAATGTATGTTTTATGACAGATTCTCTTATTTTTATCGATTAATCTTTATTGAATTTTTTTTTTTTTTTTTTTTTTTGCAAGGCTGAAAACAAGGTTGAGATTTAGATAGGCCAAAATGCTCCTGCCAAGACTTCGATAAGTTCAAGTCATGCGAGCATATTGTACGTATATTTTAAGAAACGCATAAATGAGTTGTATCTTTTGAAAGTAACTAATACTTTAACATATGTAAATTTAAGATCTTTGTATATAAAGAAGTGTTGCATAACGACAGATTTATATATAGACATGCCCTTACGGATGAAGAGCTATGTTCACTTTTTTAAAATTAAAGTAAGTAAACGTGTGATTTATGTTTTTAAATTATTAAATGATTTTTCTGCGCCAAAAATGTTAATTCTATTTATATTGCTTGTCCCCTATTCACCCTATATAATTTTACATTCTCAGACTTTTGTTACAATATATCTATAATAAATTATATAACTTTCAATTAAAGGTTCAAAATAAATAATATCTAAGCTTACTTAGTAATCATATTTTACTTATTTACAAGAGTTTTGAAAAAACTATCAAATATGAAGAAATATGGTATTTATTTGTTCAAAATGATTTATTGGAAAGGAATCCTATTTGATGTTTCGAATATTTATACAAGTCAATTCACTTTAGGCGTGTAGGAAAAAATAATTCTTTTTTTTCTCTCTCTCCCACAAGAAAATGGGACACATCGTGTTAATCCTACCAGAAGTGCTTATGATGATGCTGCTTCAATAAATTCATCACTTTCTAATCATGATCAAGCGGCAACAACAAATGATGCGTCGAATCCTCGGCGTCAATTACCATTTGGAAATTCACAATATATAGGTGAAACAAAAGAACCAACGGACGTTACGGACATGAAAAGAGAAAGTAAATCGAGACATACTTCAATTCCGTTAGTGGATAGGGAGACATACAATTTTGATGGAATAACGTCAATATTTCCCAATACAATAATTTTCATCGTCATGATAAACAAATTTATGAAAAAGAAGCAATCCGTCATAATACCCTTACTTCAGGATACCCAATTCATTATGAAAATGAATAAACTGGAAGAGATTTCCCGGTGGTGGTAAAAATGCACGTCAATTTTTGACTGCCAGTGACTTTGCTAGACCTGAGAAAAAACGAAAAAGTGGATGTTGTTCTTGGTCAATTTGATCTTATTTACTATATTGATCTTAATTGGTTTGGGAATTACTGCATTTTTTGCATTTTTTGTTTGGCCTCGCAAACCTAATGTTGATATTAAAGAAACTGTACCCGTAACACAACCACGCTCAGTACAAATCCTCCTTACATTGATTTGAGCTTTAATATGATTATTAAAACAAATTTGGTTCCATATAAATTCAATAAAATTGATGTTGCGGTAAGTTGAGTTATTTTAAACCATATTTTTGGGGTGGGAATCATCATTAATTTTGTTTTTATTAAACATTTTTCTTTTCGAACTTTAGATATTTGATAGAGCGGCTAACAACGATCTATTGCTACTGGTTGCAAACAAAATGTTCCTTCTTTGAAACTTAGAGTTGACGTTGAATTATTTATCTGAGGCATTGATTGAATTTACAAACCAAAAAATTTCTATTTCTATAATGTCCTGTACCTAATTTATATAATTCATATAATGTAAAAAAAAAAAGTGTTGGTTTAGTTATTTGATTTCTGTCTATATATACATTTATTTTTATTTAATTTACTTTTGTAAAAACAACTTATATTATATTTAGACTAATTAGTCTATTTCCTTTGTTTCGAAGGGATTAGTTAGTAATTTTGAAATATTTATGAGTATGAGTTATGTCACACGCATATTTGTAAATATGTTAATCACTACCCTTTCAATAAATGAATATTTTATATAAATATTATATCGTAAAAAAACTCAAAAATTAAAAGTTTTACCGGATTAGATTTGAGCTGAGGTGTAATTTAACGTTATCGTTCTTCGGAATCTTATTTATCAAATTAGCTCGTCAAATTTTAACAAACGTCATTTCTAAATTTAGTAATCATTGACTATCCCCAAATCGACTAAACTGTTCAAAAAGTTTGTAAACATTACAAATCAATTATTAATTACTTCGCTTTCGTGATATAATAGGAAAATTTTTGTTACCATAAACGTATTTGATAAACTGACATTCAACTTAATTAGCAAGATGCACTTTTCATGAAATTTCGCTATTGTAAATTTACTAAAAGTATTTATTATAAACAAATAGTATAATCATACTATCAAAAATTAATTTAAGTAATTACAAATATTAATCCATCATCTTCTATATATTTCTTGCTTCACCCTTCTCCTCTTGTCTAAAACCTTGTAAAAATTTGCAGCCAAACTGATGCCCTATATATAAACATAAAATTTAAATTTATTTCTGTCGCATGTTCCACCTCCGATATAAAAAGGAGCAACGGATAATATTAATTTGCGCCCCAAGGCTCTATCGCCGTCAAAACAGGGGCGCATTCTACCTAAACCCGATCAAATATTAATTTGCGCCTCAAGACTTCTAATACAGGGGGCGCATTATGTATAAACCCGATCAAATATTAATTTGCGCCTCAAGACTCCATCGTCTGAGCGCTTTTGCTTGGTCGAATATCTTGCCAAAGGGCTTTTGATAGGTTACAGTCTGTCGCAGACATGTTCTTGATGTTAGATCAAATTCTTATTACATAGGTTTGCAATTCTTTGAAGAAAAAAAAAAAAATAATGAATTTGGTTAGATATAAAATTTCCGCAAGTAAATGAAGATTGTTGTTTTTTGATTGTTATGTTTTATCATAGAAGAATAGTACTTTTACTTCAAAAGTCACAGAGAATTAGAGTCAAGAAGATAATTTCACCAGGAAATAAATACTTTTATAGACACATAATATACCGTTTGGTATTAAACATTTAAATGAAAACTTACTTAATAGCAGACACTTATAACCATTCTCCATCATTAGAGCCACGATATATATTTATTTCGCTTAAAAAATTGGCATTTTTGCACGAAATTAAAAAAGAAATTGAGTTGAAAGAAATTCAAAAAGAGTAAAAAAAGATGAGGGTTTGAAGGCAGAAATATTTAGAAAAAATGTTTGCAGAAGTGATTTAATAATATTGGTGGAACCACATAATGAACTTATATGGGATGATTGACAAAGAAGTATTTTTAGTATTCTATTAAAATCATTAAAATATAAATTAATGAAATAGTTTATAAATAAATCTTTGAAATTTAAGTTATAAACTTATTATTAAAATTGTAAGCAAATTGCTTACAATCTTTATTATTAAAAAAGATAAAATCATATTCTATTATTGAACTATTTGATATTTTTAATTTTTTCATTATTTTAATATTAAAAAAGTAAAAATTAGAAAAGTAAATTATTTTTATTAGAAAAATATATAACTTATAATATAATAATATAATAATAATATATTTATATTTAAAAAAAATTTTAATTTTATAAAAGATTATAATAATTTAATTTTTTTTTATTTTATTGTATATTATATATTCTTTAATTCTTAATTTTTTTTTTGTAATATTTATTATATTTAATTATAATATAACTTTAATTTTTTACTAAATTAGAAAAGGATATAAATTTTTTAAAAAAATAATTTTAAAATATGAAATTATATTAAATAATTAAAACTATATATAAAATCTAATAAAATAGAAAATTTCTAAATTTACACAGAATGTATGTATTTAGATCACATGATAGATATATTTATCACTGATATCACTCCTCTCTATTTTTAATTTTTACTATTTATTCTAAAGACTTATAATTTTTTCAGTAAAAATTATTATTTGTCACACCTTATTTGTCACATAGCTAATTTTTTAATTTTTAATGCTAGTAAAATAATATTAATGCTAATCATATTATATGACTTGTATACAATATACTTATATATAAATAAAAATTACCAATAAATAATATAAAGAGTAAAATTTAAAATATTATTTATTATAATATATTAATTTATAAAAAAGTAAGCTATTTATAATTATAAAATAATATTTTATAATAAATTATAAAATTATTTTTTATTTTAAATGATTTTAATTATTGTGATTTATAATTTATAATAAAAATAATATTATTTAAAATTATTTAAAAATATTTTAAAAAGATTTATCAATATTATTTGATAATTTTTTTTAAAAGTTAATCAGATTAAAAGATTTATAAAAAAAAAATTCATTTAAATAATAAACTATATCATTAAAAATATAACTTATTTATTTTAAGTAGATTTTTATTATTTAAGTTAATAAAAATAATTAAAAATTCTTATCAAAAAAATATTATAATTTAAAATAAATTATATTAAAAAAATTATTATAAATAATTTGTTAAAATAATACTATAATAGAAAGATATTAATTCAAAAGATTGGCTGATATAATGTGATATATATGATCAGAAGTTATATTGACTATATTATATTAGATAATAAAGTCAATAAAGATAAAGAAATAAATTAATCAAAGATTACAAGAGAAATCCAGAAGATGTCAGAAATTTTTTTTATATTATTAGTTATTTATTATTTATAATCAATTAGTATTTTATTTATTTATATTAGTAAATTTAGTATAAATAGAATAGCTTTAAGACTTGATTAGGAATAAACAATTCTTGTAAATAATATACAGACAATTTTGTAGACAATTTTCAAAAACCTTTTCAATAACTATTAGAATTTAATTAGTCTTTATTATCAACAAGATAAATACTAATAATTTTATATGCTAACAAATATAATTACAGTCAACTCTTGATATAGCGAACTCTTGATATAACGAATTTTTTAAACAAATATAATAAAAATACTCTTGTTATGGCGAATTGGCCAATCAAATCTCTTAAAATCTTCACTATAGCCTTATAGTGAAGTTGAGTTTTAGGACATAGAGTTCGTTATAACAAGAGTTGACTGTATACTGAAATTTTATTTCTTAATAAAATTCTAATCATTATTCTAAATACACATTATCATTTGAAATAATATTTATTTATAAATCTTTTAGAAATATTGATTAAAAGCTAAATCTTTATATTAATCTTGTATTAATACTAATTTTCAGTTATTAGTATTATAAAATAATAATACTATTAAAATAATATATAAAAAATAAAAAGCATTATTTTTATTAAATAATAAAATTATTAATTATAATTAATATTTAAAAATTTTTTAGTAAATACAAAATATTTAAATTTATTAAATGAAATTATATAATATTAAGGTTTAATTTAAGATTTGATAATATTAATATATAAATTAAGTTACTAATTATTATACTGTATCACATTTTACTAGTTTTATTTTTATTAATTATTTAAGAACTTAAAAATTTTTATATTATCAAAGGATTTATTTCAGTAATCTTAATATCTAAGTTAAAAGGTTATAACAATTAATTCTATTTGTTAAAATTTATGACTTTAGGATTTTTCTAAATTTTACAGGTATTTAATATACTTAAATTAATTTAATGATTTATTATATTTTAAAATTTAAGATTTATTTAGTTAAATTTGTAATAACAAATTTAAAAGCAAGTTAATATAAAATATTATAATAAATTTTAGATGAAAGATAATATTGAAGGAAAAGTAAATTGTGTAATTTAAATTAATTTTTTATTAAAAATTAAAATTTGCAAAAAATTATAAAAATTTACAAGAAAATTAATTTACAATTTAAGTAAAAAGCTATTCTATTTATACAAAATTGATTTATTATGATTAATTACTTGCTATGCTATAAATAAACTAAATATAAATATAAATTCTAATAAAAATATACTTAAACAATAAAAATAAAATAAACTATAAAAATAATAAAATGAAGTAAAATAAATTATAGATGTTAAAGAATTATAGATAAAACAGAATAAACAAATAAATAAGTTATACCAAAAAAATACAAAAAAATAGAAGAAAATAAATAAAACAGAAATTATTATTAATCACTATTTAATATAATTGAGAAATTATCTAATATAAAATCATCATTAATTAGTAAATCTCATGTAATATTTAGAATTGTAATTTCTTCTGTTAATAATACTAAAAATATTCTTTATATTTTATATAGTATTTAAATACCTTATATATAAATAGCAATT